ACTACATGTTGTATGATTCCATTTGTATGAAGTGTCCAGAAAAGGTAAGTCTATGGAGACAGAAAGTAGAATTACTAGGAGGAATGGGGAGTGAGTGCTAACAGGTATTGGGTTGCTTATTTGGAAGGAAAAATGTTCTAAAATTATAATGTGGTAAAGGCTACATAACTCTGTGAATATTCTAAAAAAAAAAAAATTGAAACGTACACTTCAAATGGATGAATTGTATGGTATCTTAATTATATCTCAATAAAACTGTTAAAAAAAGCAATGTATGGGGCTTCCCTGGTGGCGCAGTGGTTGAGAATCTGCCTGCTAATGCAGGGGACACGGGTTTGAGCCCTGGTTTGGGAGGATCCCACATGCCGCGGAGCAACTAGGCCCGTGAGCCACAACTACTGAGGCTGCGTGTCTGGAGCCTGTGCTCCGCAACAAGAGAGGCCGCGATAGTGAGAGGCCTGAGCACCGCGATGAAGAGTGGCCCCTGCTCGCCACAACTAGAGAAAGCCCTCGCACAGAAACGAAGACACAACACGGCAAAAATAAATTAATTAATTAATAAACTCCTACCCCCAACATCTTCATAAAAAAAAAAAAAAAAGCAATGTATGCATATTTCGCGTTGCCTATTTCATACCTTTCTTTGGCTTCCTTGAGGGCAAGTTCAAGTCTCTCCACCTTCTGGTTTCCTTCCCTTAGACAAAGCAGGAGCTGGCTCACAGTTAATTCCTCAAATTCCAAATAATTCCTGGCACCTTCTGCAGATTTGCTCCTATATCAGGACAGCATAAAGGTTAAAAGGTTTTCATGAGAAAACAAAAATGTCAGAGTCTACGAATATTACTGGAACCAGTTTAAAGGAACTGCTTTCCAGAATATTCTCTAGTTAATTCTCATTTACAGATCAAGCACAGCTGGCCCGGTGACCACCAGTGCCTCACTCCTCCATGCTTTCCAGGGAAGGAGTGGGGACTGATGGGTAGGCTCGATTTACACTGCACGTGCTCACTTCCTCCAAATGGTCACCATGTCCACGGCACCAGACCACAGGACCCACCGAAACAGTGGGGCAGAGGTAGCCCTGGTTTTTGGTGTCCGGCTTTCCTAGAGGACTAATCTCCAGGAAGACCACAGTCATACAAAGGGCACAAGCATGTGTGCTGCCCATGGTGACATGCAGACCACCGGCATTTCTCCAACTCGAGCGAAACCACCACGTTCTCTAGTCAGGAGAAGAAAATCATTTTTGTTTCTGGTTTCAAACAATTAGAGCAGAGAAATGTAGGCACTGTTGGCATGTCAAATATTTTTCTTGATTTCCAACTCAGATTAAATCAAGAGGCAGTTCAATGATGAAGAAAACCACAATGAGCACTGCAGCAACTAAACATTCTGGACAACTATGCTGAAGCCAACGGCAGCTGCTCTTTCACTAACCTACTCAAGGTCACACATCTAACAAAAAGCTAGGATTCAATCCCAGTTCCTGTCACCAAAGCTCAAACTCTGAACCTAGAAATCCATCTCTGACTCCTTAAAATACTTTCAAACAGGGTAAGGAAGCTGTTATTAAAAAATAGCTGTGTGGGGACTTCCCTGGTGGTCCAGTGGTAAAGAATCAGCCTTACAATGCAGGGGATGCGGGTTCGATCCCTGGTCAGGGAACTAAGATCCCACATGGCGTGGGGCAACTAAGCCTGTGCACCACAACTGCTGAGCTGGCGCGCCTCAACCAGAGCCCGCCTGCCGCAAACTACAGAGCCCAAGTGCTCTGGACCTGCGCCACAACTACAGAGCTCACACGCCCTAGAGCCTGCGCGCCACAACCAGAGAAGAGAAAACCCACACGCCACAACTAGAGAGAAGCCCACGCACCGCAACAAAGAGTAGCCCCCGCTCGCTGCAACTAGAGAAAGCCTGCGCGCAGCAACAAAGACCCAATGCAGACAAAGATAAATAAATATAAATAAATAATTTTTTTTTAAAAAAGCAATAGGGGAAAGGGGGAAGCTGAGGAATTTCTAACTAAAAAAGGGAGTAACTTTCATTTCTGCCAACTGTGCTGTTTGATGAAAAAATATTATCTAATCCTGATTTTCTCCCTTATACAAAGGCTTGGGAGCATAACTGAAAAAGAAAATAACCCACTTTTATGTTTTATAAGTACATTCATCAAGTTATAGAAAAAAGATACTAAAAGCCTATGAGGGAAGAGATCCTTAGGGAAATTTTCAGATAACTCTTCTTAAGCAGAGTCATGCAGTAGGAACCTGCTTACAGAGGATGAGCTGACAGCGCATTCTGGGTCAGAGCTGCTTGCAAGAGACTCAGGTGCCCAGTTCCCCTGCCGTCTCCTCCTCAAGGTCCCCCCACCTCTTAAGATGTCGGCTTCCTAATATCTACTTGTCACAAGTCTACTTGCAATTCCCCAGGTAAGATATGTGGGCACTTTCAAAAAACAGCCACCGTCACTCAGAGCAACAACAGTCATTGCTATGGAAGATTATCCTGAATTAGTCACCTTGGCTTGTACTCGGGAATGAACAGGGAAGACAAAATGGAAACTTCCCCCTTATCAGCTGGGCAGCCTGGTCCGGATCAGACTGCACTGGTAAACAAATCAGGAAACATGGGTCTCTTAATTGGGAAGAAGCTTGTTTTCACTGCCCATCTGATGGAGATGAAACACCTCTACACAGAGTGGTGAGGGGTCAGTTCACCGACAAAGGCACCAAACATAGTCTTTCTTCTCCACCAGTTTGGGCTGCAACATTAAATAGCAATTCAAATGGAACATTCTTGAAAGGTCCCGGTATAAATTAATAAGTGGCTTTTTCAGCCCACCATGTTTGGCCTCCCAGGGGAGAGCTGAAAGTGACAAGACTGCCCAGCGTGTCTGTCCGAAAGCTCTAGTCTGTCTTCACATACGTGTCAATGGAATCAGTTCTTGTGGGCCCAGGACTTGGCTTGATTTCTTTCGTTGCCACATCTGCTTCTCCCTCCTGTAAAAGCAGAAATGAAAGGGATTTAACATAGTACGTCTGCAAGACAAATTCCTTATCAAAAGAGAAAAAGGCAAAAGAGCAGGAATTTGGATGACACACAACCCAAGGAACCTATCAAACGTGGAAATGTGAGATGTTTAAATTCGGTCACTCAAATGTAATGGAAATTTACCCTTCCCTCAACCTGCACTCCCCGTCAGGACTATAAACATCCAGGCGAAGACGAGAAGGTCAAGAAGGTCAAGAAGGTCGGGCTCCTCTCATTCAGCAGTCAACCTGACCGCCAGCACAGGAAAGCTTATCTTCTTCTCTTTCTCCTTGGCAGTTCCCTTCTCCCCCACCAGATTAAGGTCACACAGAGCTAGTGACAGTTCCACATATCTTTCCCACACAGTCCTTTAACATGCAAAATGTTAGGACTTGCTGAAGCCACGTTGAAAAGAAGGCTGTTTTCTCTGGGCAAGGCTCACAAGCATAGGTTAGCTCCTATTAGAAATCTGTATGCATGTCGGGCCACTTAGGGAACAGGAAGACTAAGACACTTAAATGATTTGAAAGACGTTTCTTTTTCTTTTTCTTTTTTTAAATATTTATTTATTTATTTGGCTGCGTCGGGTCTTAGTTGAGGCATGCGGGATCTTTCGTTGCAGCGTACAGGCTTCTCTCTAGTTGTGGCACGTGGGCTTCATTGCCCTGCAGCATGTGGGATCTTAGGTCCCTGACCAGGAAACAAACCAGCATCCCCAGCATCGGAAGGCAGATTCTTAACCACTGGACCACCAGGGAAGTCCCTTGAAAGACATTTCTATTCCAGTGAGCTAGCAGAAAGATCTTCCAAAAATACAGAGATGGTTCTAGACAATTCTGTGTGTGCACACCGTTCCTAAATCTTGGGCAGTGCTTTTCTGTTCACAGAAGCAAGGCAAGAAAAACATGTTGACACTAGAAATAACTGTCACTCATCAGTGAGGGAGAATATTATGCTAACCATTCATCCCAAAGAAAGAAGCCTCATTTGGAAACTTCTGATACGCTCCTTGGGCTTCCTGAATTTTATCAGCTATCTGCAGAAGGTTAACGCTCTTTGATCAACGCTGTGTTTTCATAATCTTTGCTCACTTGCAGAAAGAGTCCTCTGACATTAGTGTACTTCCTGATTAGTATTTTACTTCGCTTGACTTCAGCCCCTATTCATCGAAAATTTATGAGGGGCGTGGGTGGTAGAGCTATTAAGAGCCATTTTGCAACTCTGTTCACCTTGTGCACAGCAAATAAATGAGAAGGTAAAGTCGCACTCGACCATTTCAGACACATCCATTAGTTATTAAGCTTTCGTAAGGTGCCCCTCACCCCGCCCCACTCCCACTTACCTACAAAGTCGAGTTTTCTTTTTCAGAGACACAGGTAACCTCTCTGCCTGTATCAGACGTGTACTCCGACAACGCCGGAGTGACTGTGTGTGTGAGGGAGGATTTTCTCCTCCTGTGCTTGTCTCCCTCACCCTGTATGCAGTTTTTTTCTAGTAGCAGAGGAGAGGTCCCTCTGGGCTTCACTTACCTTCTGTACTCTTTAGCAGGACTGCCTGCACGCCAGCTACCCTGACACATGCTTCCCACCAGGGATGGGCTGGCACATGCTGCCTCGCCCAGCTCGCATCATTTGGGGTTGCACATAAATGCCAGTTAGACCACCCTGCCTTCAAACCCTGTTCTCGGGGGTTCCCTAGCAGCTGCCGTTAGAGGGGAGGGACAAGCCAGGGTATTCCCTGAGGGTACAACCAGAGCTGCTCTGCTCTTTCTTTTCTCCACTTCTTAGTTTTACTATATCAACGTTCCTCGTAAGACTTTGCTTGAAAAGAGGGTTCTGTTATTAGTAAGTGTTTTAAAGCCTTTTGATTTTACCACATCTGATCACAACTCCGCTTACCTAAGTGAAATGCTGAACACAGCTTTGAGGCCTGGGCTGAAAAAGTTTATGCCTTTTTTTTCTTTTTAGGTCAGTCACATAAATTTGTCAGGACATACTGGAAGAAAAAGGACTATCTCTTGTCAGGACATACTGGAAGAAAAAGGACTATCTCTTTGGTCATAAAAGGTAATCAGTATTTTCCATTTCAGCTATGATAGCCACAAGCATTATGTTATACATTTACATTGACTACGCTGAAGTTTCCCCACTATCTGGCTACCTCATGTTGAAAGGAAATGGTGGTATTTGTAGCAGCTGTCCAGGTGAGGTTTTTGTAACTTGCTTAAAACAAAACCAAAACCAACACACTTACAGCCATCCTGATTTCAACAAAGGAGTCTTCGGAGGGGCCACCTGAGTTCAGCTTGAGTTGTAATTCAGACACGATTCCCAGCAGATCGACCTTTTCAGCTTGAAGGCGTGCCACCTGGGTCTTCAGCTGTTCCACTTCCGGTTCTGCTTCTGCCTTGGGGACCTTGGGGACGAGGAGCAAAGTGAATTAATGAATCACGCTAGGGACTTGGCCATCAAACTCGAGTGTCTCCATACCCACTGGCAAGACAGCTATGCTTTACAGTAGGATATTCTAGCTTATCCTTAGCAATTTATTTTGACATGCCAATTAAAATGGAAAAGCTTACATTATTTTATCACATGCAAATAATTGGAAGTTAAAATAACCTCATGACAAGAAAGGCTTCCTCAGCATGCTGAAATAATCTGATGCCATGAAAATAACCAGCCAGACTTTGGCGATGGCAGACTTGTAACTTCTAGTCCAAAATTCCACAAAGAACTGCCACAACTCAACCTCTTGCCTTTTTTTTCCCCCCTACAATGCATACCCACCCCCACTCTCCCCATTCTTGTCATGTCTACTCAGAAGCCAAAGCACCAAGGGCATAATGTTATAGTAATGACAAAACACAACGAAAGGTCCACAATTCTCCCAGGTATGCAGTCTGGTTGCTACAGTACTCTATGCTCATGTTTTAAGGTTGCTAAAAATAAGTCTGGTGAGAAATAAGAAAACTGAAAATTCACAGGCTGGTACCAAGGGTGGAAAAATTAAATTTCTGCCTCTATAAACATTAATAATAAACATTAATATTTCCCTGAGTACCTGCTGTGTTCATCCTGTTGCAGTTACTACATATGACAAAGTCATAAGAGAAAGAGCCTGTTGACATGTGGTGTTTTTACTTGGGAGAAGGGAGAGCAGATTCTAGTCCACACTCTGCTAATCAGAGCATGTGTCACCTTGAGCGGATTCACTCAATGTCTTGGCTTCAGTTTTCTCGGCTCAGAAAGAAAGACGTGGTACCACGTGGTCTCTGTGGTCTCTTCCAGTCGTGACCTTCTTAGCCTCTCTGATTTCTTCCCTCACTGCTCTTATGGACATGGTGCCACCAGAAACACATACACTTGAGATTATCAGAGGATTGCAACACACAGAAAATTCATACACACACACACACACACACACACACACACACACACACACACCCTATGACAGATCTCCTAAGGAATGGTAAACAGGCCCAAAGGCTTATAGTAAAACCAAAAAATTATCAGAAAGGCTTGTGCACGGACCATAAACCAGCTAGTCCATGAAGTGTTAAGAAGAGAGGGCTTGGTAGTGATTGGCAGCATGGAAGTGCCCCTCACACCAGTGGAACCATGCTCTGCCTTCATTTGGACCATTCTCTTGCTAGGAAACTCCCACAGGCGTTACAAAAAGCAACACATTGTAAAACCGAAGGGTTAGGTCTGTAAGGACAGGTTCGAAGCCTGTGCAGTCTCTCCTGGTAATGACTCAGAGCAAAGAAATGTATATTTAAAGGCACGAAAACATAAAAGAAAATGTACTGCCTAGCCTGGTACTAGGAAGCAGGCGGGGAAGGGCAAGACTATGTTCTGTGAGGGATTTTCACATCCACCCTCTTGCCCTCCCTGAGTACACTGTGAAGAATGGACTATTAAGGAAGCAAATAAGAGTTTTAAACAAGGGTCTGAGGACCAGGGATATAAGGCCATGACTCTAGAATCTCAGATGTCAGGTTAATTTTCTTCTTTGCAACTGTGCGGATCTCTTAACTATCCTGGGGAAATTATGGATCTGCTTATTTGGCTATAAAGCACCTTGTGAGGTGACACTTTAAATTTCTCTTCATTTCACTTGTTAAGGCTCTGTCCATCGTCTTCCCGGACTAAACTTCCAGGGCTTATTCTCTGGATCTCAAGCCCAGCTCCATTATTTATTATGTCTTTCATCAGTTTTGAGCACTTAGCACTGATTAGCCTTCGTGACACAACAATTTCTCTGTCTTTTTCTGTGCTTGTATTGTCCTGGAAATGTGCCCAGGATGATATGCCATTTTATAATCCAAAAACAAGAGTCTATCTAATGACCTTTGCCTGGCCATCTGTAGTTAAAAGTTAAAAAGTACTCTTTAGAGATCATTATGATGTATAATTCAGTGAAACTGGATAGAACCAGTAATGCCTCGGCCTCACCCTGAAGATCAGAGGCATATTTCCAAAGGAAATTCCCTGCTCCCTTCCCTTGTGTGACACAGACCACAGGAGAGGCCCTGATGGCTTGTGGGGGTGGGTGAGTGGGGAGGAGGGGCGCATCCTGCAGAAGCAGCAGCAAAGATGGGCCAGCATGAGTGAGGAAAATCTGAGGCCTTGAGAGCTTTAGTAAATCAGGAAGATGAGGGCCTAAATTAAAAACAACTGGGCTTCCCTGGTGGTGCAGTGGTTAAGGATCCGCCTGCCAATGCAGGGGACATGAGTTTGAGCCCTAGTCTGGGAATATCCCACATGCCGCGGAGCAACTAAGCCCATGCGTCACAACTGCTGAGCCCATGTGCCACAACTACTGAGCCTGCGCTCCAGAGCCCACGAGCCACAACTACTGAGCCTGCGTGCCTAGAGCCCGTGCTCTGCAACAAGAGAAGCCACTGCAATGAGAAGCCCATTGCACTGCCCCCGCTCACCGCAATTAGAGAAAGCCCGCACACAGCAACGAAGACCCAGTGCAGCCAAAAATAAATAAATTAAAAAAAAATTTTTTTTTTAAACCAAAAAACAACAACAACACAAGTGGTCCAGGAGACAAACATTACAGAAGAGGCAGGGGGGGCAAGGGGTGGGCCTGGGAGGTACAGTTTGGGGGGATACAGCTGATGACCAAGGGTTTTTAAGAGTCCTAAACGTCACTTTGTCCCAAGGACTCATTTCTGAGTCCTGCTTGTAGTTTGCTTCAGCTGATCGTCTGCACTGAAAGAAGCTGTCCAGAGCTCCAGCTTCTGATCTCAACTTCTTCCAATACTGGGACCTTTTTGGAAAACCTACAGGCAGACTATCTCAGGCAGACAAACTGCTTCTGGAAGCTTCCTTTTTGGCTTCAAAGTGCTGGGCCCCCGCAGGCTGAAGCCAACTGTCAGCCCACATCCCAAAAGCCAAGGGAGGAAAACAAAGTGAGATATTTTCTTCCAGCAAGTAGAAAATTACCCATATATCCCAGTGATCATTTCTTCAGAGTATTCTACCTCAAAAATATTTAGACAATGAGAGGTTTCGCCCAAAGAAGTGACTTAATGCCCTTTGAACTGTAAGACAAACTGAAGCATCAGACATGATAAATCTTATCAACAATGAAACATTTGCAGTGCAAATACAAAGTTATTAAAGCTGAATGTTTTCATTGTCCCATGAGCAGGAGTTGATAAGTAAGATCATTGATATAAACTATGATATTTTTCTAAACAACTTTTCATTCTTTAGATTATTCCGTATTTCTCTTTTCCTTATTTTACTTCTTTGTTAGTATTCTTTACCTATTTAAGAAATTAGACATCAACAAAGTTCAAGGTAAAGTCTCAAGAAAAATCACTTATGAAGGGAGGGATAAATGAGGAGTATGGAATTGAAAGATACAAACTACTTCCTGTAATAAACCATGATGGAAAAGAAAAAAATAAGGGAACAGATACAAACTACTGTACATAAAATAGATAAGCAACAAGGATTTACTGTTTAGCACATGGAGCTATACTATGTATCTTGTAATAACCTATAATGGAAAATAAATGAAAAAAATTTATATAACTGAATCACTTTGCTGCATACCTGAATTAACACAATATTGTAAATGAACTGAAAAAAAAAAAAAGGAAAGAAAATCACTGATATCCAAGAATTAACCCAGTGTTCCATCCTCCCTAAAGCTGTTAAGTTCTAGGTTTGGAAGAAAATGAACTGCAGATGTCCATCTAAACAAATAATACCCAGTGAGCCTTAGAATATGGGCAGAGGCTTCAAATGTGCTCTGATTTTCTTTTTCACTCACATCTTTGATACTCGTTCTTAGGTGTGAGCACACCTCTTGGGTTCTTTGGGTCAGTGGAAATGTGGCAACCCTACAGCCTCATATCACATGACATTTGTCAAACCAGTTTTCAGAAGTAAATGTAAAACATAAAGCGAGGAATCTATTTTAGACGGAGAGAAAGGACAAGGTCAATGAGTGAAAATTCTGAGTGATAGATTTTTAAAGTGTAATTCTACATCAAAGACATAAACTAATGACTAACACTTGGATGGTTCTAGGCAGAGGTCCTTCTGTACCATCTATAATGAATACAAAATACTGACTTATAACCGTAACACTCTTTTGACTATAATCAATATGGTCAAAGCTTTACCCATTTCTTTCCTTCACCAGAGATTATACATGACCCTTAAAATTGTAACCAATCTTCTCATCAAGCACGCTTCTTTCAAGATAATGCAAAGCACCCATCTAGCCTGCACCGTGAAAGGTTCTGATCTAGAAGTCTGGTCAAGTAAGACTGCACTACAAATATGAACAGAATAAAATCACAAGTGGTCAGTCTGCTCACCTCGAATGACCTTTCAGTTTTCCCTTTTAGTTTTCCGAGGTCCTGCTTCAGTTTTTCATTTTCAAGACTCAGTGCCGTTAGGCGCTCTTTGGCTTCTTTGCTCTGGGTCTCAAAAAAAAGGCGTTCTTCCTTCTGCTTTTCTGTCCAGGCTGAAAGCTCCTCAAATCGCCCTTTCATAGCTTGATTGTTCAGCTTCATGGCTTCTGCATGGGGTGCAGAGGGAGAGTGTCACACCAGGGGACTGGACTTGGGGTCATGAATGGAACCCGCCTGGGCCCCAGGGTCAGCCGGAAAGACTGCGAAGCAAGATGAGTGAGTGGTTTCCGCTTCCAGACAGGACTAGCAGAGTCTAATGTCATCTCTAGTCCTGAAGAGTCTCAAGAAAATAAAATTGATTTTATTGACTTATTATAACAAAAGGTCTATTAATAACTACATAGACTGAGGTCCATCACTCCTGGATTTGAACACTGGTTCTCCCCAAAACCATGGCTGGAGATATTAGAATGCTTTCTTTTAAGGTAATATTTAGGACTAACTCTGTAATAATAGCAGCCTTGTTTTCTTTTTCCTTTTAAATGGGCTAAATGTCATTATGCCATTTCCCAGAGATGCATAGTTTTTATTTTTACCTGTATCCAAAAGTAAACAATGGAAGCAGCTTTAGCCTTACTCAAAGCTAATACTGTGCTCTTTCTTCCCGCAGGGAACCAGGCACAGAGAAAGGGATTCACCTACAAGCTATTACCAAAGGATGGCATTCCCGAAGGCCCCGCGTGAATGAAGAAACATGGGGCCGGTGCTGCTCACCTTTCAGCTGATGGTTCTCAGTTAGAAGCTCTCTCATCTGCTGCAGCAGCTCATGCGGGGTGAATGTGTCCAGGTTCGGGTGAGCCAGACTGGGGGGTCCATTTCCTGTGGTTTCGTTGGGGCTGTCCCCCTTTTCAGTCAGGCAGCTAACTGGTTGGTGGGACATGGCAGCAGTTCCTATGGAAAAGTCACAAACCAAAACTATAACTGTTCCCCTCTGTGTGGCATCCTCACGAGTCCCACAAGCCCATGTGCAAGTGCTAATAAGTATTCTACAAGGTGCTTTCTCTCCCATTATATATATATATATATATATATATTTTTTTTTTCTTTTGTGGTACGCGGGCCTCTCACTGTCGTGGCCTCTCCCGTTGCGGAGCACAGGCTCCGGACGTGCAGGCTCAGCGGCCATGGCTCACGGGCCCAGCCGCTCCGCGGCATGTGGGATTCTCCCGGACCGGGGCACGAACCCACGTCCCCGGCATCGGCAGGTGGACTCTCAACCACTGCGCCACCAGGGAAGCCCTCTCCCATTATATTTTGAACAATCTTGATTCTTCCTTTTTAAACAAAAAAGGTACATCCTAGCTTCAGTTTGTATGTGTATGTCTGTGTATAAGGGTGTATAAAGGGGTACAGTGAGGAGATGGGGGATAGAGGAGGGAGAGATGGACATGATATCATGATGATCAGAATCCTAACGTGGCGAGTTCAAGAGGCTTTCCATATATACATTTGTAGATGTTGGCAAAGTATTATTAAATGGATTTTTCCCCAGAAAAATCTTTAAGCTCAAATCTTCCTATTTTGGGTGAAATTGTATGGTATGTGAATTATATCTCAATAATTAATTGTTACAAAATCTCCATATTTTATTTCTTGTATATTTGGCTGAGAGGAAAGGGAGAACTAACATACTTCCAATGCTTACTATGCTCTTGATCACCGCACCAGACTGTCAGTTTCTAATCCTCACTAAAACTCAACTAGACACAGCTATTTTCCTGGTAACAGAGCTGAGTTCACAGAGGTTTTATAGCTCATCCAAGGCCACTCAATGAAGGGCACAACCGAGCATTAAGGATGATTCCAAAACGCAGCCCTGTCATACAGTGAAGGCAGCACTGAATACTTAGGCTTCCATAGTCGACACTTTTGCAAAGCGTTCTAAAAGACTAAGAAAATCTTGCTTAGTTGTTGCATATTCTGAGAATATTTTAAGCATACCACTGTATTTGCCGAGGGGTCAGTGTAGCCATAAATAAGATAGACGGGTGTATCCCAACTGTACTTCTGTATGGCCTACCACCTGGGCAAACACAGAAATCAAATGCTGTGGGCAAACATTTTCCTTTACACATTTCACAAAGATGATGATATACCTTTTCATGAGGAATTGAAGAGTTACGGCATCAGTCACTGGAAGCTGAGGAGAGAGAAGTGCTCTCTGATCTATTGCTGTATAACCTCTGGGTGTGCTCTATAGATAAACATGGAAGGCGGGCCCATCCACCTCACCCAGAGTTCAGATTCCACTTCACCCATCCATTGCACACTGCCAGAAATCTTAAAGAAATAACCAAGGCTGCCGGAAGGATTTTTTCTTCTTACTTCTTAGCAATAACAGTCAATGAATTGCTTACAAACAAGTTACTAACAAATTTTCACTGCGTCCAAAGAACCTCGTCCCTGTAAGAAGTTCCCACGTGTGCCGATAGAACCTGCCACTGCCGACAGGAGGGCAGAGTACAAATGACTATCTCTCTTCAGTTATGGTTTTTGTTGTTAAGTCCCTGTGCATGTTAGGGCAGAAGCTGGGCAAACCACCATGTATTAATGCCCGTATATTAATGCACCAAACCCTTGGGGTGCAGAGCAGTGCTTCTTTCCCACTCTGGCAGGAGGCAATCCTTGGCTCTCTGGAGGTCTCCTGGAACTGAGAGCCTGGTGACCTGCTTTTGGTCTAAAGGACCTGTAAGGTGAGCTGGGACGAAGTGAGAGAGCGGCATGGACTTACAAATACTAGCAAATGTAAAATAGCTAGTGGGAAGCAGCCGCATAGCACAGGGAGATCAGCTCGGTGCTTTGTGACCACCCAGAGGGGTGGGATAGGGAGGGTGGGAGGGAGACACAAGAGGGAGGAGATATGGGGATATATGTATATGTATAGCTGATTCACTTTGTTATACAGCAGAAACTAACACACCACTGTAAAGCAATTATACTCCAATAAAGATGTTAAAAAAATAAATAAAATAAAGGACCTGTAGAAAATCAGAGACAGTGCTGCTACTGAGGGGACAGCCAGCCCCCAGCACTGTGGCCTGTGTGATTCCTCTAGAGCAGCTGGCACAGGAAAGGCATCCTCATGGAATTCTTTAATGAGGATGGCAATTCTATGAAGTGAAAAACACGGATAAAGCATTTTGAGCCTTTTGAAAGCATCTGTGTTTTACATATCCTGATTCATTTAGAAAGAGGTACACTGCTAAAGTGTGCTATCTCTTAGCATTAGGTGACCAGAATAGACTGCTTTTGTTTTCCCCAATAAAATAATTTGGATTATTTTGCATAAAATAATTTGGATAAAGCCAGTTTCTGACTTTCCATAAAACTCATTTTTGCATAGTACTATGTTGGCACTAAAATTTCATAAAAATGGGTTTTTACTAAATAACAGTGCTCCTATCTATTTTGCAAAGAATACTAAAATTCTAAGTAATTGACAAAGATAAAATCCTTGTAACGTGTGTCATTCACTTGTCAATATTAAATTTCCTCAGGTATTCAAGGATTAGACTATACTTTGGAGACATTTAACAGATTTGTTTTTAAAGTATCTAAAGCAGAGGGAGGGAAGAGTAAGGGAAGGGGGAGGGGAGAGAAGGGAAGGGGGAGGGGAGAAAAGAGACTGTTCCTTCCGATATTTTTCCTCCTTGACTTTCCGTTATATCTCCACCAAGACTTGAGGCACAACTGTAACCGTTAAAACCGATTCTACTTATCAACTTTTTCTGGTTGCCCAGATTTTATAAGGACATGAGAGAAAAAAAAAAAAAAAAACCGGGTTATGCTGAGGGAGACAGCAGAAAAATAAACCGGGTGCCACTAACCAGACACGTGACCTTGAGAACTCATCTGACCTCTGTGATGATTTACTGACTTGCCTAGCAAATGATGATCACTATAGCTGCTTTCAGCTCAAAAGCCCTATGAAAAGTATTAAGCTTCTAGCAAGATCACAGTCCAACCCGCACTGTCCAGCACGTACACCCCAGCACCCTCATGGCCATGCTGCCCTCTCTCACTCATACATATGCCCGTCCCGATTATAGTGAGCTCTTTGCTACGCAGCATTGTTAGGAAAACTATTTGGTAATTCAAATGTCATAGTATATAAGAAGTTAACATAAATGCCAAACATAAGCACATAAATACTTATAAACAAAATTTTACTAAAAGCAACTTAATTGATTTTTGGTGACTCAAAGTGCACTTTATGATTTTAGAATATTTGGGGGGCGTCATTACAACCTATCACAGTACAGTGTGTATATGAGACGTCTACTGGTAGAATGCCAGTTAGAGAAAGCTGAATTCTCTAAATGTTTAGCATCACCTTGAAATATTTTCAACTGAGAAAATGCAGAGATGTATTATAAATCCTTGCACACATCCTCAAAGGTTATGAACTAAGGAACTAAGCCATTTACTCCAAGATTCTGTCTAATAACAGAATTTCTCATAAAAATCCAACCAATGATCAGAAATGCATCATTTCTAAACAAAGGTGTTTTATTTTTAACTACAGAAGGGTGAATTAATTTAGCACAGGATTTGTCAAGATTTCACCAATGAGGAAAAATAGGAACCACCTGGAAGGTGGAAGATCAAAAGCAAAATCTCCTAGATTTTATTCCTGGATCTGCTATTCAAATTCCTGATTATAATTATTGTTCTTAATTCCAGAGGTCAAGTAATTATAGCAGTGACTTGACTTCGTAGGCATGAGCTTAAATCTTGTTTCTGAGTTGGCCTTAAAAATGACCCAGCCAAACTTATTCAATGCAGGAATGTCCTGTCCGGTTTCCATGGCAGATGGTCATATAGACCAGGCTCGAATGACTTCAATGACAGAAAAAATGAGCACATGACCTTAGCAGGCAACTGCCCATTCTATTCCAGGATGGCTCTGACTGCCAGAAAGCTGTTTTGTATCCAACAGAAGTCTGCCTTACACTGACTTCTCTCCATTGGTTGTTGGACCATCAAGAATAATACAGAATAAACCCAGGTCCTTACCCTGGTGTGGCTGATTCTCCGAACCTGCTGATTAAGTATTCACAGGTTCAATCCCCACATGGATAAATTAGTTTTAAACAGTGAAAACCTATTTCCTGATCAGAGACAATTGCTGGCTATTGGCAAATCCTGGTTTGGGTTTTCAAGGGGATTGAGTAACATTCCAAGATTGCATCAACTAAACTCATCACCATCCTGGAAAAAGAACTCAAAGTACATATCCTATTAAGGGGGTAAAAGAAGACTTACCTTTTATGCTAGAAATGGTACTCTGACTTTCATAAGTGCAAACATACAGAAAATGGAAATAGACAGCCTCATCACCCAAGGCAGGAACCTGAGAGTTATGCTTTATTCTTCCTATTTGCTCTTCCCCCAAGTCTAATGGGTCACCGAGTCCTGTCACTCCCACCTCCTCTCAATCCCCACCAGCTTAGGTCAGGCCCTTCTTGTCTTGTCTGGCCCACAGAGTACGGGACTTTCGTCTGTTTTGTCCACTGCCGTGTCCCTAGCACCTAGAACATTACCCGACATAGATGGGGGTTCAACAAATACTTGCTGAATGAATTTGCATAGCTTCCTCCATGGCTAGACTCATCTCCTTCCATTGCAGCCCCACTACCTCCATGGTTTCTTTCCTAATACTAGGGCATCCCCCTGCTTAAACCCCTCCCACACAGACAGAGCTCCAGCTCCCGAGCAAGACAAACATGGCCTTTCAGGGACTGGCCCCCACTTACCCA